GCGGGATCCGCTCGTAGTCCTCGCTTCCCAATGAAGCACCCTAGAAAGGGAATTTCTTCGGCCCCGAAGATGCACTTAGAGGCATTAGCATATAATTTATTAGTGCGCATGCACTCGAGCACTGCTCGTAAATGAACAATATGGTTCTCAATATCTGACCGCCCATGTTCAGCTCGGCTATGGATAAAAATGTCATCAAAATACGTCTGTGCATAACTTCGATGGGGTCGAAACAATTGCGTCACCAAACGGTTAAACGTAGCCGGAGCATTAGATAGCCCTTGGGGCATCACTAACCACTCCCAGAGCATACCGCTCGGAGTACTAACAGCAGTAAGCGGAATATCACTAGCTCGCATGAGCAATTGGTAATAACCATCGACTAAGTCGAGCGCACTGTACATGGTACAACCGACCATATTGTTCTGAAGAACATCCTTTCTAGGTATCGGTGTCTGTGCAGGTATAGTGGCCGCATTGAGCTTATTATAAGCATGAACAATACGCCATTTACCATTTGGTTTCTTAACACAGAAAGTGGGTGTCGAGTGCGGAGATTTACTTTCACGCACCATGCCCGCCGCGTGCTTTGTACGAAAGAACTCGTCAATGACGTCACACTGTTCTTTGGGTAAAGGCCACTGCCGTGTTACACAGTATTTGGTTCCGGGAACCAAGTCAATTTCATGACGTACGCCCCTATCAGGTGGTAGAACCGACGGTGGATCGTGACACACCACGTCCTGGAATTCTTTTACCAAAGGATAGTGGGGATCTGAAGGTTCCTTTAGAATAGATTCCCCACTACGTGCACTTAGTGCCGCTTTGGTATCTTCAAGGACTGTCTCATCGACAAGCGAGGATGAGTTCAGCTCGAGGTTAGGTCGAATGACCACCATATCGGACAGAGCACCTGCCTTCAAGGCCTGATGAAATACATCCACAGACATTTCGCCTAGCTCTAAAAGAGCATTTAATGATGGGAGGGCCTCAAGGTCAACCTCACCATCTACATCACCTGTCACTCCGTTGACCAGGGTGTACAACTGGTCATTGACATTACTATGCGATAAAACAGACGCTTTGCGTCTCGCAGCCGCCATCTGGCGACGCTGCCGTCTCCTTGACGAGACCGTACTCTTCAAAGTACTTGGGATGTTATCGTCCCCAAGGTCAACAGACCCCTTGTCGTTTACCTGCCCTATGTAAGGGCCGATGTCATTACCGACACCCAATGGGTCACTAGTACCACTGACTTCACTAACAAGGTCATTGACCTTCACTCGCTCTATACGAGAGCCGATGTCATTACCGACACCCATTGGGTCACTAGTACCAGTGACTTCACTAACAAGGTCATTGACCTTCACTCGCTCTATACGAGAGCCGATGTCATTACCGACATCCAGTGGGTCACTAGTACCAGTGACTTCACTAACAAGGTCATTGACCTTCACTCGCTCTATACGAGAGCCGATGTCATTACCGACATCCAGTGAATCGCATTTCCAGCCAATATCACTAACAAGGTCATCGACCTTAACTTGCTCTATACGAGAGCCGATGTCATTATCGACATCCAGTGAATCGCATTTACAGCCAATATCACTAACAAGGTCATTGACCTTAACTTGATCTATACGAGAGCCGATGTCATTACCGACATCCAGTAAATCGCATTTACAGCCAATATTACTATGAGTATCACTTAACGGAGTACGTGCCGTTCCACTAAGTGTCATTGAGCTCTGCTCGACACTATTATTGTTGACATCGGAGTTTATCAACTCAGACACTCCAATGTCCAGCACATTAACTGAATCAGTTAATGGCTCGCGCCAATAGCACTTTTGTTTTCTAGCGAAGGTGGGTTCATGACTCTCCAAAGCTTCGCTAGGAACATCGCGCGTTGCGCCTAAAGTTTTGGATCTCCAATCGATCCACGGCTCATGGCGTTCCAGCCAGGCCATACCGAGAATGAGATCATATCTCGAGTCCAGATCTAGGACAAGACAGCGTTCAACGCTATTGAAATCTAAAAATTTCACACCTAAGCTCAACGGAACTTTAGGAACGGTGACACGTACACCAGTCGCGAGACGTACGGTTATACTGTCACCCTCTTGCGCTTCCAGCGCCTCAGCATACAGCTGACTCCCCTCAAGGGAGCGACGTCGGACATAATTCCCTGACGCCCCTGAGTCAATTAAAATTGACCAGGGTTTCTCAAAACCCTTAACGGTTGCCGACACAACCAACAAGCCTGGCTTGTAATTTTGTTCTATGGGAGCATCCACAAAACCACCTGGGGCTAAGCCCTGTTTACCTTTACCTCCTAAAGATTCAACAGAACTTAGTTCTTTCCCAGTAGGGCGCCCCGCGCCTACTGGGAGTCGACATTTTCCCCTGCGGTGCTCGCCTTTTGGCTAGGAGCAGGGCTTCGGCTTTGCCGATTTGAACGTTGCTTTCGCAACGGACAGTTAGGGCGGAGATGCCTAGTGCTTCCGCACATGTAACATCTACGGATGCTACCTTGCTGCTCAGCAGCTTGAAGCTCAGCTTCTTCAGCATGGCTGAGGTCCATGGGTTCCGCCCTGTTAGAGGTATTTGATTGATTCCAGGGCAGACCATAGCGAGCAGATTTAAAATTGAATTCAGCGTTAAATGCTACGCTTACTGCCTCCTCAAAAGTTGAAGGCTGGACACGGAAAACTTCCGTCCTGGCGACCCCAGTGCGAAGTCCCTCCATAAAGATGGTTACTCGGACTTCCTCTGCCAGTGGGTCCTGCTGCATAGCAGCAATGAGAGTTCTCAACTCTTGGACATAGTCCGACAATTCCTTCTTACCCTGTCGGGTAGCTAGGAAGCGTGAGCGCACACGATAAGCCTGATTAGGCGGTGCAAACACACAACTTAATTGCTTTTTAAGCATCTCCCATGTGGGAAATGCAGCATTTACAGAGACACCGCTCGTTAGAGCCCATTCTCTAGCTCTTCCACCGAGCTTAGAAATGGCCAAGCCAACTCGTTGCTTATCGGATGCAAGCATGGCGGCATCCATTGCCATTTCAACTTCTCGGATCCAGAGGAGAAGGTTCTCTCCCTCCTTCCCCTCGAAGGTCTTGACACTTAAAACAAGTGGACGAGCCTTTGGCTCTGCATCGGTCACAGGTACCGGAATGTACTGTATAGGCGCGGCTGACGCTGCCTGGTCATGGACCTGCCCGAGGAGCGTTGCCTCATAACGCATAAAGGCCTCAAGACGAGCATTTAGAACCTCGGGGCCTTGGGCCAAAAGGGCCTCGATTTGATCGGGCCCGACGAACGCCGATAGTTTATCTAAGGCGAGTCGCTGTGCCTCAGAGAGGTGATTTTGATTCTCCATTCTCACAGAGGGTCAGTCTTTAAAGACTCAGGTGTAGGATTGATCAACAAGTGCTACCAAGTGTAGCGGAGCTACACAGCTCTTTAGCCAGAGGAAGACTTTCGGCTGGAAGCCTCTTAGTTCTAGAGAACTAAATAGAGTGAAGGCTAAAAGCCACTTAGTTCTGAGGAACTAATTAAACGACTTAAAGTCACCCTGTTCTAAGGAACTAGGAAAGAGACTTTTAATCAATCAAGCAATATGCTTAAGGTTCAGAGAACCAACGCACAGAGTGCAAGAACAAGCTAGAAGCTTAGGGGTTCAGAGAACCAACGCACGAAGTGCACAAGAGAACAAGTCAGAACGACTTGCGATCTTAAACTCAAAAGGAGAACTGATTTTATTTATGCTTTAAGATATTATGAATAGTCCTACTTTAAGTACACTACACTAGATTAATTACTATTATAGTAATTATTATATGCAGACTTTGCTATTGGACGACGTATCGTCTAAACATCTGTGTATGATGTACTTAATACAGCGTTAGTGATTTATCGAATCCCAATCGATAAGATACGGTATTACCGAATACCGTATTATAACGCTCATACTTAATACCTCTCTAACGAGAAGTATAATAATGCATTATATGCAATACAAAGGAGAGTTTAAGCGTAAACTCTCGGAAAGACGTTACAACCGTCGTGTAACCCCGTTACACGAGCTGGATGCTAAAAGCGTAAGCGAAGCTCAGCGCTTCGTAAATGAGCGATTAGCCATCACACGTAAAGTCCGTGACGCAATGGCAAGCACACAGGACAAGCAAAAACAGTATGCGGACCAACATGGTCGCAAAAAAATGAACACTTTGGTGTTAGTCGAACGTGTAAATGATAAACTACTTGCTAAGGGGCAAAACCAATGAGGACAAGCGTAACACTGCCTTGACTTTCGTCGGACTCGCAATGCACGTCGAGGAAATAATCGATGTTTTAGTTATTACGCAACAGCAACAAGAGGCCCACGTAGTTCTGAGGATTAAAAGTAATACATACTGCCGTGCATGGTAATGTATATCGAATGGCATTTTTTTTATGGAACTGCTATTTCCACCGCACTTTTTGCTATTTCCACCACGCCATAACTTTTGCACATTTTTACTATTTCCATCACACCATACATTTTGTTTAAAACGACAAAACTGGGGCTTAAATGGAACGTCATTGTTTCAAGTCAGCATTACAGTAAACCCCTATACTGCCTTAAGTGTTAGCTTTACTTCCGGTTACGTAATACTGCCTCATTTGTGACGTGTCTCATTAATACATCCAAGAGTATCTTTGTTAAAAAAATTTCTTTGCAAACGTCAGCACACTACCAGGGAACTCTTTCTATATTCGAGGCTTACTACCAATTGAATCTTCCTACGCCGTACTCTACTGTACGCTGTAGGACCAGTATCAGCAGAAAAAGCAGTAGATGTTGAAGCACAAGATTAGAAAGTCCAAAATTGATAACTGCAAGTCTGTTTCTACATTTTATAAGATGAGGTCATTAGTCATTCTGACCGAGCATGTTTTGGTAAATTTTGGAAGGTGGGCAGAAAAAGCGACATATCTAATGCTCCCATTTTTTATTTAATAGTAAGCTGTATTCGCATGAACACTAGTTTCTTCTTCTTCAAATCAATTTTTGTCACGAGATACGCGCTGAGATTGCAGTTGCTGTTGCTGAGCAGGGGCCGCATGTATTGCATGCCGACACTCAAACTCGGCAACATGGGTTGGTTGTCATTGACGGATGAGATGATGGAAGAGGTGCTGCCGTTAATGGAGGAGGAAGGCAGCAAAAGGTGCAAAGGCGCCGCGCGCACAATTACTTCGGTTGCCGAGCCACCCACAACAGTATGCCGCGAGCATTTGCGGCTCGTCGATGGCGGTGAGGACTTGGATCTGTAATCATAGCCTGGGTGCTCCAGATGATGGTGGCTGGCAACTGGGCCCAATGACGTCGTGGGCACCGATGGCGGCCAGTCCACGATAATATGCCGAACCGACTGCTCATTGCGTGACTGAAAGCGTACCATCAGCTCGCGCGCATTCGCCACCGAGATGTCCGGAAGTTTGCGCAACGCAGCCACCTCGACCAGTTTCATAAGCTCATTAAACGTCATCAACACGCCCAGCTCCGCGCGGGCCACCACCACGCGCATGATTCCGGCCTCATCGCTCTGATGAAAGTAACCATTGGTGCCCTTGGACGAATGTCCTCCCTGCGCACGCTTCTTCACGCGGCGATGGAGAGCTGCAAAATGCACACCGTAAGTTCTGGCAGCGGCGCGCAGACTCATCCCCTGCTGCTCCACAGCCGCGATTGCTCTATCCCATGTCTCCGGTGACACTGTGTGGCTCAGCTTGTAGCCACGTTTCGCGCTGGAGGTCGGATCAAAGTATTGGGGGGAAACACCGCCATCTCTATTGTTGTCCGCGCTACCAGTGGAAGGTGCTGCACTGACACTCGAGCTACTGCTAGTCCCAGTCGTCGTGTCATTCTCGCTGTCGCCGCTACCACTGCTGGCGTTGAAGATGATCTCTTCGTTGCTCCATTTATGCCTGGAACCATGTCCTGCACGGTGGTTGTCCACAACCAAGGAGCGCTGCTGCTGCTGCTGCTGCCGACGAGTATGCTGTATCTGCGGGTCGCTGTCGTACATTGTCCGCATGCTGCACTGCGCCAAGGTTTCAGGCTCACGTGCAGCGGTGGAGCGTCTCAACGGCTGTTTGCCCCCACCTTTCTCGTCATCGCTACTACCATCACTCATCTGGCTGCTACTTGTTGCACGCACGGCGCTACTGTGGGTGCGACTCCCCACGTGGGCGCGCTCGGGCAGCCCGAATGCGAAGACATCGTTGGCATGTGCGAAATCGTGCGCGCGCTTGAACTCAAGGATCCAGCGCGTGGACGGAAAGTCGGGTGGAAAGCTAATTGCGCCCCTGTGGCTGGCGACCGCACGCACGGCAACGCGGACGTCGTCCGAGGTGATGCGTTGGTCGTGCCAGAATTGCTCGCGCAGAACGACTTGCGCCTTAATGCTCTATGTCTATCGGTAGTAAAAGGATGAGGGCATCAGATCGCTAGTTAACGACGTTTTGACATGAAATGAAACTATGGACTTTTGCTGCTCAGGTTGATAGTATTGAATATTGGTGTTCATATACGAAATTTATTTTTAAAGTCTAGATAGCGCATGGAATCATCTACTAGCACGAGTCAACTACTGTCTAGCACCGACGAGCCATACACATCGTAAGAAACTAAGCATAGACACCTATCAAACCTTTGACATCGCCGTCTATCTGATTGCCGATCCTTTCAAGCGTCAGACTACAAACAAATATACAGTACATGGGCAATAATCGCGACTCTAGCTTATTTTAAAGATGCATATGCAAGCTGTAGAGGTGATGCAAAAGTATTCATTGTGGGTTAGTATGAAGATGAATTTTTTCTATTAATATCGACGATCTTTTTTCTACTAGCAGAAGAGAAAATTCTAAACCATCATATTTTGATTTTTTTTTGGAAAGGGGACAAGAAAGGTGCGGGATGTTTGATGCTCCTCATAAAAAGTGAGTAGCTCATCGAAAGATCTAGTACCCACTTCCTGTTTCTGTTCCCCTGTCGCAAGATGACTACCTCCAGCGGTAGGAGCTTCCAATCAAAAAGTCTCGCCATAAATTTAACCAATGCACGTCCATCATGATCGCTGACGGAATTGTCTCGAACGTTTTGCCGTGGGTGGCCCACAATAGAAGAGGGACAGATGTCATCAATCTCTTTAGCCTTCCCCACCGTCTCACACCCGTTTTAAACGATCTTTCGTAGCTCGTCCACAGTAACAAGTCTCATTTCCAAATTTTCCTACGAGAAGAAGACAAACAACCCCAAACAAGAAACAACAAAATGGCTCAGACTGTCTCTGGATACTCGGTCGGCATTGATCTCGGTACGACGTACTCGTGCGTCGGTGTGTGGCAGAATGACCGCGTAGAGATTATTGCTAACGACCAAGGTAACCGTACGACGCCGTCCTACGTGGCATTCACGGACACGGAGCGTCTTATTGGTGATGCCGCTAAGAACCAAGTGGCTATGAACGCACACAACACGGTGTTCGACGCCAAGCGCCTCATTGGTCGCAAGTTTTCGGACCCGATCGTTCTAGCTGACACGAAGCACTGGCCTTTTAAAGTCACGTCTGGTGCCGGTGACAAGCCACAGATTACGGTGCAATTCAAGGGCGAGTCAAAGACGTTCCAGCCTGAGGAGATCTCGTCCATGGTCCTGATTAAGATGCGTGAGGTGGCGGAAGCTTTCATCGGCAAGGAGGTGAAGAATGCAGTGATTACGGTACCGGCCTATTTCAATGACTCGCAGCGTCAAGCCACCAAGGACGCCGGTGCCATTGCTGGACTTAATGTGCTCCGTATTATCAACGAACCGACGGCTGCTGCTATTGCCTATGGTCTGGACAAGAAGGGCGGCGAACGTAACGTGCTGATCTTTGATCTTGGCGGCGGTACCTTTGACGTGTCGCTACTAAGCATTGAAGAGGGCATTTTTGAGGTGAAAGCCACAGCTGGTGACACGCACTTGGGTGGTGAGGACTTTGACAACCGTCTGGTAGACCACTTCACCCAGGAGTTCAAGCGTAAGCACCGCAAGGACATTACGGAGAACCAGCGTGCCCTCCGTCGTCTACGTACAGCGTGTGAGCGCGCAAAGCGTACACTCTCGTCGTCGGCACAGGCGTACATTGAGATTGATTCTCTGTTCGATGGTATTGATTTCAACTCGACCATCACGCGTGCGCGTTTCGAAGACATGTGCGGTGACTACTTCCGCAAGACGATGGAGCCTGTGGAGAAGGTGTTGCGTGACGCAAAGCTGTCCAAGAGCCAGGTGCACGAGGTGGTACTTGTTGGTGGGTCGACGCGTATCCCCAAGGTGCAGCAGCTGCTGTCGGACTTCTTTAACGGCAAGGAGCCCAACAAGTCAATTAACCCTGATGAGGCTGTTGCCTACGGTGCTACCGTCCAGGCTGCCATTCTGAGTGGCAACGATTCATCGGAGAAGCTACAGGACCTGCTTTTGCTGGATGTGACGCCTTTGTCGCTTGGTCTAGAGACGGCTGGTGGTGTCATGACGACGCTGATTGCACGTAACACGACTGTACCGACCAAGAAGTCGCAAACGTTCTCGACATACGCGGACAACCAGCCGGGTGTTCTGATCCAGGTGTTTGAAGGCGAGCGGTCCATGACACGCGACAACAATTTGCTGGGCAAGTTTAACTTGGACGGTATCCCGCCCATGCCTCGTGGCGTGCCTCAGATTGACGTAACCTTCGACATCGATGCGAATGGCATTTTGAACGTGTCGGCTGTGGAGAAGTCGACGGGCAAGGAGAACAAGATCACGATCACAAATGACAAGGGTCGTTTGTCGCAGGCTGATATTGACCGTATGGTGTCGGAAGCCGAGAAGTACAAGTCGGAGGACGAGGCTAATAAGGTGCGCATTGAGGCCAAGAACGCTCTTGAGAACTACTCCTACAATTTGCGTAATACGCTCAACGACGAGAAGTTGAAGGACCAGATTTCGGAGGATGACAAGAAGGCGATTGAGGACAAGGTGACCGAGACCATTAACTGGTTGGATGCAAACCAGTCATCGGAGAAGGAGGAGTACGAAGGAAAGCAGAAGGAGCTCGAGGGTGTGGCCAACCCGATTCTGCAGAAGATGTACGCTGCTGCTGGCGGTGCTCCCGGCGCTGCTGGTGGAATGCCCGGAGGAATGCCAGGTATGCCTGGTGGTATGCCCGGCGGCATGCCTGGTGGCATGCCCGGTGCTGGCGCTCCCCCTGCTGGCGCGCCGGACCAGGGCCCCAAGATTGAGGAAGTCGATTAAGCGCGCTCCGCTAGAAGTCTCGTATCGTGCTGTCACCGGCAAAAGGCATTCTCTCACTTGCTTTTGAAGTCGGTTGATTTGAGTAGTAGGTAGAGAAGTAGTTATGGCAATTGTTTCTGAAAGAAAATTACAAAAACTGCATGAAATAAATTCGAATTGAAATGCCGTGTCTTGGCTTTCACAATATCTTTGATATCCACTGTTTCAAGAAGAAGAACGTCTTGAGTAGACAAAATTGAGATCTGTCGGAGATTGGATGTGCGAATACGGCTACGTGACGGAGATGTTGAAAAGCGCATTGAGCTCAACTTGTCGAATTCACGTTGCTGTACAACAAGGCTGTTCACAGTAAGGTATTCTCACCTTTTGCAGAAGATGTAGTCCAATATCATTATTACACGAAGTTGACTTCTGCAACTTACAGTCTAGGAGGCAACTATCTGACGTCGATACTCGAGAATCATCTTGGAGTCCGCTTTCCAGCGTGTTCGTCGGATGAACTCGAGCGAGTATTCTGGACCGACAACCGCGCCGTTGCATAGAATCTCGATCTCCTCGGGCTTCAGAATGTTCAGCTTCTTAGCCAGGTACTTGCGCAGATACATGATCTAGGCGATACCAGCACCAATCCGTTTAAACTCTCAATGCAATATCCTAGTCACTTAAGCCCTTACCTTGAAAAAAGACTGCGTGTTCATACACGGAGCTTTCAGCTCGCCAAGGTGGAGGAAGAGAGGAACATCGGGGCTGCAAACATTACACCAACAAGCGGTGAGAGCTCAGCACTAGCACGTACTCGCCGGATCAATTCAGAAAAACTCACCCGCGCTGTGGATACAGCTCAAACTGAATCATGTGTCTAGGTGACGACGGGCCGAGTCCACGACGAAACTTTGAAGCACTCGGGCGATTTTCCGACAACGTATCAGGTTGTTTGCGCTTGATACCAAAGTTTGCATAAAACTCTTGCTCTGTAAGGTAACAAACAAACATTAGACGCTTGACAAACTTATAGAATAACGAATGTAGTGATCAACAGCAGCCGTACCTTCCGTTTCTTCAGCTTCACGGTAATCTGGCAAGTACTTTTCAGAGAGCTCTTTTATAGCTGGATCAGGGCTACATTATCGAAACGAGTGACAGATAGTACGGATACAAAGTATATCACTTCAAACAATAATGTTTTCCTATTCGGCGTACATGAATTGGGTCCACGGCTTGGCACCGAGATTCACACCACAAGTCGGACAAGTGCACGATGATGTATGCAGATAGAATCCTCGAATGCAGCCATGACAGACTACATCAATACAAAACGGAATATTAATCTGCTAACTGCTACATACACTTGGTTTAAAGTGTTACGTCAATGTCATACAGGTATGCAGACACTCTTTCGCAGTGTACGGGTCTCGATAATAGCCTTTACACAATTTGCAAATAAAGAATTCATTGATATCGGCCATATACAAAGTTTCCTATTACAAACAAAAAACCACAACTAAGTGTTTGCTTCCTCTAGTATTTGATCAAAACAATAAAGCACGAAGATCCTTTGCACATCAACATACAGTACATACCGTACGTGCCTCCACTAATAAATGATTACACGACGCATTGCCCAGCGATGGATTGATCGTCGTGTTTGAAGAGGAGTTCCTCGTCATGGGGTACACGATCGTAGCGATGAAAAATACAAAAGTGGTAACAACCTGTATTGAAACTATACAGACGCATAAAGAACCTACTAGACAGCATGATTGAAGCAATCTCGTATGTGTTAAGCGTGGGTGTATTGCTGCCGTCGTCTTCGCTTACAGAGCAACACGAACCCAATAACACATGCAACCGGAACTGCCATAAGGAATACGAAGAGCACAAACATAGTGCTGGAGAGAAACGATGGATCTGATGCTGGGTCCCCATCACCAGTCAATTCGCTATCTGCAGATTTTGATTCTGTCGACTCCAGATGCCACGATGCATTTCCAATAAATTGATCATCAATTTCTGACTCCGTTGGTTGCGATGGTGTTGGCGCTGGAGTAATGAAGCTGTCGGCATTCTCACACTTGCATCTCTCTTGATTCCAATGTCCTTGAAGCTGCTCGTGGGCGTGATGGTGTTTCGCTTGTAACTCCTGCAACTCACGATTCAGTCGAGTAGTAAGAGCTTCGAGATATCGACGCGTCGTTTCCAGCTGATGGATACGGCAGTAGTGTATTGTAGTCAACTCTTGAATCAAAGACGTGATGGGATGGCCCTGGCTATTTGGTAGTATGCGTGTTGGCTGGTATCCGTGATAGATAGCAAGGTGTCCTTGGGCCTGATCGTTGCTGAAGGTCAGAGCAACCCAAAGGAATATAATGCATCGCATTAGGAACTGCTGCTTTCGTGACGCAATGAGGAATGAAAAGGCGTTCACTTGCGTTGTAAGGTGACTGACTACCCATCCAAGTTGTGCGTTACAACCAGGGCTGCTTCTATCCATCGGCTTCGCGCGCACGGATGCATAATTTCGATCCATTAGTCGTAATGGATGTGATATAGTTGCTAAAGGAGCCTGATATAGTGCAACACCCACGAGGTCCACAATAATCACATACTTCGTTCTGATAGTTTGTGAGCCACTAAGTCATCAACCTGCTGTTTGATACAAGGAATGCGGACACTAAGCAAGTAAGCTACTCCATATCCCTCGTATATCACTGTCGATAGGTATCTAGAGTAAAAAAGATCACTAAAATTTTAGCACTTCATCGCTGGCGAGACAATGACACAGCAACCATTGCACCTATTCTGTTGCAAAAAATACAGCTTTGAAGTCGAGTCAAAACATATCGAAACGAAATTGGAACGCATTACAGATGATTACAATCGACGACTAAAAAATGTCCATTACTGTCAAACTGTCGGGCTTACGGGAAGTAAATTAGATGCTGCAATATTAATGTTTACAGAGAAAATTCAATAGAACGGTCATAAAAAGACATACTTGTTCTTAAAGGAACGTTTTACAACCTTTTGCACACCACGATTCATTAGCTATGCGCCGAAGAATTCCTTATCCTCGGCTGTTTGCATACATACATGTTTATTCATGTTAGCAGGAATATTAAGGTAAAGGCTGATGGTTAAGCTGAACATACCAAAGGTTACATTAAGATCGAACACTTTTGCGTCATTGAACGATGAAAGAAGTAGATTATTCTTGCACAGCTTTATATAGTTGATCCTCTTTCGCTTAGACGCGTTTCATCCCTTTATTTTGCCGAGTCGTGAGCTCGGAGATGCTGGCAAGCTTCCGCGAAGCTGGCTTTATCGCACGGAATCGATGTCAAAAAATGCCATGAGCGCCTGTAGAACGGGCTGCTGAGTGGACATTTTATCGGCTTGGCAAACGACGCTTACTGAGATTGAAGAGCTGTTTGTTTAGTAACGCATGCTATGGCATTAGATTGTTGTTGGCAGGGGTATCTCCCAAAATATATATTTCGCGATCATTATCTTTTTTGTTGTTGATGCCGCATTGTTATAGGCTGATACGCTAAGAATCTCGGCTGAACAAGGTTTATTTTCGAATCTCGGATGGCTTGAAAGTGTTGTTGTGTGCTGGCACGGTCTCAAATGTGTAATGATGACATTGTAGTGTAAATCTTGAGCGTTGCATGACTGACTCACATGCATTAAATAAAATATGTTCTTCTTTAAAAAATTACCTGATATCCTGCAAGAAGGAAGGTGGCAGCACCTTCCTCTTTCACAATAAAAACAGCTACTCACATTTATCAACGCTAGCCTGAATTTCAATCGATTATAACAACTAGCATTACCGTCAACCTGACCAGGATTGTCAGCCGATATTATGGACATTTTTTAGTCGTCGATTGTAATCATCTGTAATGCGTTCCAATTTCGTTTCGATATGTTTTGACTCGACTTCAGAGCTGTATTTTTTGCAACAGAATAGGTGCAATGGTTGCTGTGTCATTGTCTCGCCAGCGATGAAGTGCTAAAATTTTAGTGATCTTTTTTACTCTAGATACCTATCGACAGTGATATACGAGGGATATGGAGTAGCTTACTTGCTTAGTGTCCGCATTCCTTGTATCAAACAGCAGGTTGATGACTTAGTGGCTCACAAACTATCAGAACGAAGTATGTGATTATTGTGGACCTCGTGGGTGTTGCACTATATCAGGCTCCTTTAGCAACTATATCACATCCATTACGACTAATGGATCGAAATTATGCATCCGTGCGCGCGAAGCCGATGGATAGAAGCAGCCCTGGTTGTAACGCACAACTTGGATGGGTAGTCAGTCACCTTACAACGCAAGTGAACGCCTTTTCATTCCTCATTGCGTCACGAAAGCAGCAGTTCCTAATGCGATGCATTATATTCCTTTGGGTTGCTCTGACCTTCAGCAACGATCAGGCCCAAGGACACCTTGCTATCTATCACGGATACCAGCCAACACGCATACTACCAAATAGCCAGGGCCATCCCATCACGTCTTTGATTCAAGAGTTGATTACAATACACTACTGCCGTATCCATCAGCTGGAAACGACGCGTCGATATCTCGAAGCTCTTACTACTCGACTGAATCGTGAGTTGCAGGAGTTACAAGCGAAACACCATCACGCCCACGAGCAGCTTCAAGGACATTGGAATCAAGAGAGATGCAAGTGTGAGAATGCCGACAGCTTCATTACTCCAGCGCCAACACCATCGCAACCAACGGAGTCAGAAATTGATGATCAATTTATTGGAAATGCATCGTGGCATCTGGAGTCGACAGAATCAAAATCTGCAGATAGCGAATTGACTGGTGATGGGGACCCAGCATCAGATCCATCGTTTCTCTCCAGCACTATGTTTGTGCTCTTCGTATTCCTTATGGCAGTTCCGGTTGCATGTGTTATTGGGTTCGTGTTGCTCTGTAAGCGAAGACGACGGCAGCAATACACCCACGCTTAACACATACGAGATTGCTTCAATCATGCTGTCTAGTAGGTTCTTTATGCGTCTGTATAGTTTCAATACAGGTTGTTACCACTTTTGTATTTTTCATCGCTACGATCGTGTACCCCATGACGAGGAACTCCTCTTCAAACACGACGATCAATCCATCGCTGGGCAATGCGTCGTGTAATCATTTATTAGTGGAGGCACGTACGGTATGTACTGTATGTTGATGTGCAAAGGATCTTCGTGCTTTATTGTTTTGATCAAATACTAGAGGAAGCAAACACTTAGTTGTGGTTTTTTGTTTGTAATAGGAAACTTTGTATATGGCCGATATCAATGAATTCTTTATTTGCAAATTGTGTAAAGGCTATTATCGAGACCCGTACACTGCGAAAGAGTGTCTGCATACCTGTATGACATTGACGTAACACTTTAAACCAAGTGTATGTAGCAGTTAGCAGATTAATATTCCGTTTTGTATTGATGTAGTCTGTCATGGCTGCATTCGAGGATTCTATCTGCATACATCATCGTGCACTTGTCCGACTTGTGGTGTGAATCTCGGTGCCAAGCCGTGGACCCAATTCATGTACGCCGAATAGGAAAACATTATTGTTTGAAGTGATATACTTTGTATCCGTACTATCTGTCACTCGTTTCGATAATGTAGCCCTGATCCAGCTATAAAAGAGCTCTCTGAAAAGTACTTGCCAGATTACCGTGAAGCTGAAGAAACGGAAGGTACGGCTGCTGTTGATCACTACATTCGTTATTCTATAAGTTTGTCAAGCGTCTAATGTTTGTTTGTTACCTTACAGAGCAAGAGTTTTATGCAAACTTTGGTATCAAGCGCAAACAACCTGATACGTTGTCGGAAAATCGCCCGAGTGCTTCAAAGTTTCGTCGTGGACTCGGCCCGTCGTCACCTAGACACATGATTCAGTTTGAGCTGTATCCACAGCGCGGGTGGGTTTTTCTGAATTGATCCGGCGAGTACGTGCTAGTGCTGAGCTCTCACCGCTTGTTGGTGTAATGTTTGCAGTCCCGATGTTCCTCTCTTCCTCCACCTTGGCGAGCTGAAAGCTCCGTGTATGAACACGCAGTCTTTTTTCAAGGTAAGGGCTTAAGTGACTAGGATATTGCATTGAGAGTTTAAACGGATTGGTGCTGGTATCGCCTAGATCATGTATCTGCGCAAGTACCTGGCTAAGAAGCTGAACATTCTGAAGCCCGAGGAGATCGAGATTCTATGCAACGGCGCGGTTGTCGGTCCAGAATACTCGCTCGAGTTCATCCGACGAACACGCTGGAAAGCGGACTCCAAGATGATTCTCGAGTATCGACGTCAGATAGTTGCCTCCTAGACTGAGGTTTTCGTCAAAAAAGGTTTGAAAATGCGCATGAAGACTTCCACTTTAACAGCATATGCATAGGTATGTCACTATAGCGCAGCAATGAATTGGGAGAACCCGTCGTTCCTTAGAAGAGAGCACTGCAGATTCTTCCAAAGTGATGTTCATGTTTGCGCTAAAAATCGTCGTATCGTTCATCGTGCGACTTTTTTAACTTCGATGCTTAACTTTTTCTATTTTTCGACGACTTTTAAAAATGTCGTCAATAGCACGCACTTTAAACCACAGCAGCGTGTAACTCACTTTTGCACGATATTAATTTTCGCTCCTTGCAATCTATATGGCTACATTTGTTTTACGCTTCCAAATTTTTGTTTAATCAATTCATGAACAACGTTGTTTTGTGTAAATTTGCGCTGTGAATTTCATAAGAGTTCGTTTTAAACCACTCAAATTGAGGAGCTGCGTGTCCTTTTACGTGGTGCACACACCTGTATAATTTGGAGTCTGCCATGGCGTCACCAATGGCGTCAGAATGGCGCGGCACGAGTGATCACAACGTCACTGAGACGTCTTTTGACGCCGTCAAATGTAAACTGTCAGTTTAAATGAAGCTTGTCTTGAAATCTAGTTATTTCTTACGTATTGAATCTCTGTATAGCGATCACTAGTAGCTGCTAAAGTCAGTGTATCATACTTTGTCGTGATGTCGCTTATAGATCCGCAGTGACACTCGGCTATTTCCAGGACCCATTTTTACGCTTCTTTGTTGATAAACCTACACGACGCATCCCTCTGGTACTTTATTAAGCAATAGTAGAGCTCGTCCAGACCGAGTTTTAGCTTAGGATGAAGCTGTTTGAAGGCTTACGAGACGCTAATTTGGTGTCTATCGTCACAGATTCATCGCGGTTATTATTTGCGCCACATTGCTATTACCCGCTGTGTTGAGCTTTTTCTTTTGCACTGTAAGGTTTTGCGTAGATCAGTGGTTTATACTCTACTTTTTAATGACATTTCGATGGCGCTGATGACTGCAGATGCGACGTCGCCTCGAGTAAACATCGTATCGCTGGGAGCTGGATTTGACACGCTGTTCTTTCGTCTACTAGAGCAACGAAAGTTTGCTGGAATGGTCTCGTTTACGGAGGTGGACTGTGACGCCATTGTGAGTGCTAAGACAAAGCTGTTGAATGATCCAGTCATCCGAGTGGGTCTGTTCCCGAAAGATATTGGCGACTTGATGGTTATGACCTCTTCTGCTAGTGATGAAGTGGCGTGGCAATGTCACGTGCCATCTGGCTCGTACACGCTCATTGCTTGTGATCTAGGAGACATTTGGAGGCTGGAAGCAACGATGAATGCTGTTGGTGTTGAGCGAAGTTTACCAACGTTGATGCTTGGTGAATGTGTCCTGGTACGTCATACTAACCGTGATCAGTGCCGATAATGGTACAAGTTGCCTGAACATGTGGTCATTGTAGTCGTATTTGGCACCAGAAAAGGGTACAAAGCTACTTCAGTGGCTGGCCGAGACCTTTTCATGCAGCTCCATTGCGCTATATGATCCGATTGGACTTGAAGCAAGTGACGATGGCAACATCGCCTACGCAACATCACAGCCTAAGAATCAGCCGGATGCTTTTGGCTCGACACTTAAGCGATATTTTGCTGTGAAAGGATGCGCGCTTCGTGGTGCACGAGGATGTCAGACCGCAGCTGATCACTCTCGCCGTCTACTAGCTCGCGCGCACTGGAAAAGATGCGCTATTCTCGACATGAACGGAGTGTTTGCGGCTTGCACGACTGCAAAGGAAAAACACAGGCTAGCACTGCTAGAACCTTTCGACGAGTATGCCGATTGGATGCTGTGCAACGCTCATTACGCGATTTACCTTGCAGACAATTGCAAGGATCAAGATAAGGATGGTTTTGAGTGGACCACTGGTTTTGTGCCTCACATGCAGCAACACCAATACCTCCTGACAGGAAGTGTTGCACCACAACAGAAACGCGAGGAATTATCCGAAACAGTAATCATCCGATCATTCCAGCGTGATGACTTGGCTACTGTGCGTTCGCTCTTTGAAAGTACACACCTCGATTTATCCAAGAGATCACGTGCTGTGAGCCAGTTCGTTGCAAACCGTCTTCGTGGTCCTAGTGGAGACATGTTCGACGTATACCAAGCTTTCCAAACACCCAATAGCGCTGGTGTTACAACAAGTGGCTTCTGGGTCGCTGAAATAGGCGGCGAGGTCTTGGGTTGCGTTGGTGTAAGGCCTTTTGTGACATTTGCAAGCCAACAGCCGAATAGTGAAGAAGAGAGCCAAAGTGCCGAACTCTGTCGGCTTAGTGTTGCTCCCGCAGTTCGACGACGTGGCGTGGCTTCAGCTTTGGTGCGAGCCGTTGAGGCTTTTGCTGTATCGTGTGGCGCGTTTAACGAAATTCGTCTCGACACCATTGAAGTCATGGAAGCTGCTCAGCATTTGTATCGAGCTCTCGGGTACGTTGAGCAACCAGACAACGAAAAGCAGTACAGCTCGTTCAAGCTTGTACATTTCCAGAAGACGCTTTAAATGGCTTCACATGTTCCTAATAAACACAAGAACATTATATTGTTCACAACCTTGTTATGCATGGTGGGAGAGCGAGCGGCTGAAGCAGACTCAATGTATAGGGCGCCTTACATCCAGACAAATGACGAAAGAATCATCGTCATTACTTTACATGCTAGTGATCACCTACAAACTCTTTCAAACTCAAGCACCAACTTCTCTCGAGCAGATACTTATGAGAAGCAAAGTGTGACGCAATCTATGGGTACTGCGCTGGCCTTGACGACTAGGCCAGCGTAGTTGCCTTTACTAATGCAATTAAGCGTCATTAATCGAAGCGGTAGCCCCGAGTTTGATGGATGTCTTGAGGAGCGACGAATTGCAGATTATTGCTAAGAAAATATTACTTATCGTCGGATAAGCGATGAAAGGTCCGAATTGAGACCTCATAGGTGGTTAATCTACCAAAATAAAGGCAATAATAAAGCTTATGAATGCAATTGTGTGTGTTCCTTCGTCAAAGTGACGGCTACAATTGTTAATAGATCTCGTAACTGCAAATCCACTGAAACAAGAATTGAAACGCTGTACGATAATGTCAAAATTGTCAAAATTGTCGAATTTGCTTTTCTTATTGCATAAATAATTAAATTGGCAATTACTGTATCTTTTACTATTTTTACCTGAGTTATTAATTGCAAACAATTTGCTGAACATCTCACAAGATAGTTTTTATTTATTTCGTTTTTTATGATTTTATGATTTATCGTTTAAATATATTTCCATCATATTTTCTTACGCTAAACTAGTTTCTTTATAAAAAATATTAGTAACGGGTTGTTGATGAAATGTTTGTTTAAGTCAATACGAAATAAACTCAAAGTTTCTTTGCGGCTTTCTTTGATATGGATGGAACGCTATTGGACACGGAAGAATTGAGTCGTCTTGCTATTGACAGTATTGTACGTCAGTTTGGTAAAGAATTTACCATGGCTATGCACAAGACGATCCTGGGTCGTCCTGCTGTCGAGTGGACGCGTATGGCAATTCTTGCGGTTGGTCTAAGTGAAGAGACCATCACTCCTGATGGACTATTTAAGCAGTGGGAACAAAGAATGCGTGACATGTCTGACCGTGTGGAGGAGATTCCTGGAGGTTTCGAGCTGCTGAGTGCGTTGTATGCACGTGGCATTCCCATCGCTCTGGCTACATCCAATAGCAAGAGTGTCGTAGAAGCCAAGATGAAGCACCATTCCAAGCTCTTTTCCTTCTTTTCTACTATTGTATGTGGAGACGATGTAGCCGTTTGTGGCCGGGTTACATGTATGTCTCCCCGAATGTGCGTGCTTAGGTATAGTATTCACTAGAACGAATCCTAACAATATTTTAATTATATTTTTCTAAAGAACAAAGTTGCAACAACCACTTTTTAACGTAATTAAAATCAATCGACTCTTATAAAGTCGAATGTTTCTTGCCGTGATCTTCATTCAAATGAATGCCGTTAATAGTGGGCGTCCCAAATGTGCAAGTAGTCGCGCACATCCTCAACATCATGAAAATTAATAAGAAACCGTGAAATAGATTCCAATTCACAATCGCTCGGGTCATCGATAAAACTGGAGCATCCAATGGCATTTCGAGGATGAAAAATGTAGGACATTGGCGCATTGTCAATGATGATCGTCTGCGAGACATCACGGTCCAACAAAGACAGATCCTTCACATAGCTTTTTTCATACTGCACGCAATGCTCACGGTAGAGACGGTAGCGGATAACGCCTTCCGGGTCAAGCTTGTCCAGTAGAGGGTCCGCATACTTGCTGAGACTAGCTGTGTATACTACAATCTCATAATACTTTGCCATTTCGATTAGAAATTCTTCAGCCCCCGGTCGCTTGCACACATACACTTGGTGGATGGTGCCGTCGATGTCAATAGGAATAACAAGGTATGGGTTAGCAGTCGGCCTATACGATGAATGGACGAGCGTTTCGTCAAGGTCGAGCACTAAACATTTCTTGTCGGCGTCATTAGGAGAGGAAGGAGGAAGGACGTTCTTGTGAAGTTTACTGGTCCTTTTTGAAGCTGCTTTTGATTTTGTCAGTGACAAACGGCCGTGTGGTTGTTTGGTCAACGTATGCTGCTGCTGCTCAATGATTCCAACTGCCAAGAAAATGTTTGCAAACAAAGAGCAGAAACTTCCTTGGGCTCCACGCGTTGTAGATCCCTGGTGTTCTTCCGTCTCCAGAGGTTGCTGTTTGCCGTGTTTGTCGGCTTGGTGGACGATACTGGCCAGCAAATTAGTGACGTTGAGATCCGAAAGCTGTTTCGTTGACGACGCCTGTGCCCCACTTGTCATGCAAATGTGGGATACCGGGTTGTTATGGATTGCTTCTTCAGGCTCGAGATCCATGTTCAGGTCCGTCTGCGCTTTCGCCTGTGTTGAGGGCATGCTCGGGCTCCGTCCTAGAATTTCAAACAAAAGGAGATCCTAGTACAGTGTCGTTTATGATTCAACTAGTTTGATAGTCGTGCTTGTTTTGTTTCGTGCAATTTTCTCAACTGAAAAAAGGTAGTTTTAATTGATACCGCGTCCACTGACCGGAAAGCAGTTGGACAACCCTTTCTCCTTCATTCGTAAGCACCTCGTCAACGCCATCCTGTCGTCTATTTTGACTTTGAAAGTTTGAGCGTTGGTTAATGGATGTTTATTTGAAAATACCTCTTAAACAACTTAAAATTCATTCGAAATCTTCATTGGGTCCATCTTTGAGCGTGTCTAGGTGTCGTAGTGCGTGAAACAGTGAGGTTAAAATCAATCCGTAATCACTTTCCCTGTAAATTTAGAGATTGTCTCGAAATGGGACATCCCAACGCAAAAATCTAATTTGGGACAAGCTCGTAAAAGTGTCGATCAAAAAAGCACGTGTAAAAGTAGCCATCACTAATTGGCTGAAAATTTCGTAACGTTTTAATCGATCTACGCCAAGAAATAGATCTCTTTTTACCTACACTTAATATCTCTAAGTTTCGCCTAATTTCCACCGTCTTGAAACGGTCCCTTTGCCTTCTCTCTCTCTCTCCTTGATTTTCAGTTATCGTTTCATCCAGTCGAACGAGTTTTTCAAATGTTTCGCTTCTTTACTTCAAACGGCTCTAAATCTAATGAACAAGCGGCTGAGATCGAGAAATATCGTGCCCGTCATCGCCAATTGTGTCGTAATCAGCAATCGGATGCAACGCTTAGTACGCACGTCGAGGACTTGGACGTAGAGGATGGACGTACTCGTAAAATTTCAGCCAAGTGGCGTCAAGAGCACGAGCACGAGCAACAATTTCCAGTTGGTAATCAACTTGATGCAGAGATGCACATGAGCTTCAATGCCTTTGACTTTTCAACGTCACCCGAAGCTTTCTATGAGACGGAGCAGCAGCAGCAACAGTTGGAGAGCAAAGGTCCGTCTTGCCAGAATAATCAGCAGTCAGAAGAGCAGACAAGAAAGCGGAATGCTAATGGAAGTTTGTGGGAACGGAGAAGTCTGGATCGCCCGACTAGTGGAAGTGCTCGACAGGTGCCGACATTGGGCAAAGAGGCTTTATGGGGAAGTCCCATGCATTACGTTACTCAAGATGCACAGCGACAAGCACTCTATTTCCAGCCACAATATTACGCATGAGCAATTTTTTCATCAGTACTGTACGATAACTCAAATCATAGGTAAATTGCATTTACCTTAACACATTTCATCTCGTCGACAAGTGATGTTGTTTCGTTAGGTCAAGGCAGCTCAATACTGTTCACGAGAATAGGTGGGTTGCGATGCATTACTGACGCGAGGTACACGATGAAAATCAGCAGGAACGAAATGACAGCGTGACGAGGATCCTCCTGCATCCAGGCAAGCAGTGAGCCGTCCTTCTCAACTAGATCTTCGTCACTCTCGTATTCGTCGCCATTTTCGTCATCCAGACAGCTATCGTCCTTTTCGTGTGTGATGTTCGATGTCAGATTAGTTGAGCCTTCATGGACCTCGCTGTTCACTACTGAGTCTTGGCCCTCCACACCGGAGTGCCCCTCATTGTTTAAAGCACACACTGATGAGCCACTCCTTTCACCACCGTTGGGTTGCACGTCGGGGATGCCACTGCTCTGACGTCGCAGCTGGGACAAATTTGCGTCCCAAGTGGCCCAATTGTCCGGACCACCAGGATGACGCCGCACCTTGCTCGCATCGGTGAGGGATTCTAGCCACTCCTCGCCTTCGTAAATGGTTTCTGTACGCAATGCCAAGATTTCACCGTTGGGTTTGGTAATCGCGATGCGAATACTATCAGTCTCACCCTTGTCCCACGCGAACCGCGCGACATCTGGGCCGCTGTTTGTCGTGATCTCCACAATCTCGCAGCGCGTAAGCTCCATCATTTCCCGGTATTTACGAGACCGTTTGTGCGAATAGTACGAGAATAATGTTCCATCTAGCCGGCACCAGCGCTTAGACCACCGTGAAGGTACCATGGTAACCTCCTTGGCGCCACCTTTCTCTGTATTCTTTTGCAGCTTGCGCTTCTCAAACGAAATAGACAGATACCCTACTTTCACGCGGTTTTCCGGCTTTTGGCGTTTGTAGTTCTCACGCAACGCCTGGATCTCATCGTGATAGGTATGCACAAGGTCATCTGGTGCAAGATCTAGGAGGTTTGGTACGCGTTCCATTAGCTGAGCCCGAGCCGCTGGGTCGATGGCGTGGAAGCCGAATACCAAACTCTCCAAAGCTAAATGGAACGGTGCAGGGGGAAGCGTCAGCTCTATCTCGGAAATTTTGCGATGAGAAAGAGTATTGACGCTCACCGAACTAGTATAAGTGGATGTTGACGCAGTAACATCCATGCTATCCTCGCTTACAGACGATAGGGAGGCACCGCTCTGCTTGTTATCATCTTTAAATGACCCGCGCTTTTTCACGCTCAAGGCCATATTTCCATCAGCAGAAATGGAGAACCGAGCTTCATCCTTCGGGTTCAGCTCTAGCTGTTGGTGATGCTCCTGCGGGTATTTGTTGTCCCAAAGTTCCACTAAACTGTCAAGATGCTTTGTAAAATCTTCAAACGATGACACCACGGATCGGAAGCGTATATCGAAAAATTCGAGCAAGATACGAAGCTTCATCGTAGCGACCACTTTAAAGACAAGATGCTTTTGGAACTTGCCCCTCGAAAATTGCTGAAAGTAGTTCGTATCCTGGACAATACTACCGATTGAGAGGCCCTTGAACTTTAGTAGGCTTTCGCTAATTGCACCCGGATCCACATAGAGTCCCACCGTGAATTGGTATTCGCGACAATCGTTGGGTGCGTCATTTTCATCTAGTGACAGCGAAAATTTGTGTGACCAAGTCCCCAGTAATGCACTGCCATCAACAACCAAGTCTCCGCTGAACATTACGCTGCTGTCCCGATCCACCATGGGACCAAAATGTACCATAACACTGCGACTCTGGCGGCGCAGTATCTCAAGCTCATTATCGTCGTATTCAGCCCATTCATCTTTGGTCGAGGGTTGCCAATGAATCCTGTGTGAATCAAGACTGCTATTTCTCTTGGATTGACTGCTTTTGCCTGCCTTGGCTACAGCGTGCTCTTCTTCTGGCTCGTCAGTATTCTCCTTGTTCTCATCCTTTCCTGCGTTTTCCTGAGATTGATGACTATTTCCGCCACGCTCAGGACTTCCAAAAAGATCTTCTACCTCACTGTCGTCCTCATCATCATTGTCATCGTCAGACTCGGAATCTTCTTCATCTTCACTATCAATACTCTGGAGTCGTTCACGAAGACTGCCAAAAATTTCGTCTTGTACGTCTAGAGCCTCACCACCCCACAGCGATGGAAGCCTTTCGATCAGACCACGTTTTGCATCGTGCTGAATCGAGTTGCTGTCGAAAAAGAGAGCTTGAATGCACTTACAAAGAGCATGCGATGCGATTGGCGGGTACAATTGGCCACGCAGTCGATACTCAAAACGGTCGTCCTCATGTATCTGCATGACCATGGACTCGGCTTTCTTCAATGACTTTTCAATGAAACCAAGGAACGTGCTAGTTGCTGTAGCATTGGGTCCCATACGTGGAGTCAATCCATCCCGTAGCAGCGCCGTAAGCACCGATTTGGACACGCGCTTTCGGGCAGTAACAACAAAACTACGTCGGAACGTCGTATTGAAGAGCAGATGATCGTAAAACTGCTGGTCTCCATATAAACTTTTAGCGACACGACCACTAAACTTTTCCAATTCCTTCGTCGCCGTTTCCGGGTCAATGTACATGCCCATAGCCAGAATCCGTTCGTCCGTCCATCCGACACGACGTACAACCGGTCCAACACCCACTAACAAGTCTCCATTAGCCAAATTGGGCGGAAACGTAATGCGTGAGTACATTTCCTTCAACGGTCCGTACGTCATTCTTGATTCCAAGATTGGAATCATATCTTCTTCAAATGAGTCACGTTTCATGTTTTCCTTGTCGAGCACATTATGCTCCATGACAGGAGTTGAATAGCCATCTTCATCACCAAATTCACCACTTTCAGTGCTCGTCATGGCACTTGTATGCTGTAACAACATCAAGTTACTGGAAGTGCTACTATCATGATCAATGCCTAGATCCGGGATAGGCAAGTACGTAGGTCTTGCTCTTCGTTCGGCTTTGTTATCAGCCTGTGTCTGTTCTACACTTGCATGAAACACGTCACAAAAAACATCAATCCACTGATGTCTTTCTCTTTCCGTTGCAGCTGCCAATGTCAGTTTTGTATCCTTGATAAAAAGTAGAAAACCAAATGGTTTCGGTTCACTACACATCCGAATTGTAATGGGAGTATGTGCTGACAAGGGAATGTCACCTTTTCGATTACCCTTTTCACTAAAGTATTGCAGTCGCGTACGTTCCAGTACAAAATCCCGCCATTTCCACGTAAATAAACGACGATCTCGACGCATGAGTTTACCCAGTAATAAAACGCCATTCTCATTCGCGTTCATTTGGAGTGTTCGTGTGTTTATTTGTGACGAATGGAGAGCTACAGAGGGCGAAGAGACGTGAGAAGACGTGGGAAAGAGATCCAGTGATGGCGTTGCTGTAACGATGGAGGGAGAAGGAGCAGTAGACGCTTCACTATCGTCTAAATGTCGCATCATGTCGGTCGTCAAGTTGTTGCGCGTTGTGGAGACGCAGAAGAAGAAAAAATGACCCGAGGGGATTCATGTGTTTCAATTGGCACAACGTACGGTACGACTCGTACTGTGATATTTCAAGTTCAAAGATGATATTTAGTGTTTTTTTTGCATTATTTCGAAACCCAATTATGGCGAGTGACAAGGTCGAGACGATGGAAACGTCGCGGCGATATTCATTTCTAGAGATAAAGGAAGCACAGCGCGTATGTGGTGAGAAGATGACGGCAACGGCATTGCGTGAATGCGGTTCAGCGTCTGCCGCTCAGCAGCAGATTTTTCGAGCGCATGTGAATGACTTGTGCGCGACAGTTTTTGCCGCAGCACTGCGGAAATACAACCCAAAGAATCAAGGTAAAAGAGACGGAAGGATGGTAATTTATAGGAGGGAAAGGGAGCTGGCTTTTTTTCTAATGCACTATTACTGTTTAGAGGAGATGGCGCCTGTGGATGAAGAGACTGCGATTAAACTGAAGCAACTGGAAACGAAGCTGAAGGAGAAAGAATTGGCAGTTAAAAAGCTTCAAGAACGAGTGCCGAGAATGGCTGCAGCTAATGCGCGCAGGGAATTGGCAATGGCTCGCAAGCGTCATGCAGATGTGCACGTGACGTATGTTTGTATAGGTAGATGAATGTTGAAGAGTGAAATACTGATGCAGGATGATGGATTGTAGAGAATCGGAATCGATGAAGAGTGTTGGGGTGGAGTTGACAGACGAGGAAATTGAGGCACTCAAGGCGGCCTATGTGAAGGTATTGTCGAGATGGCGGTAGGAGGTGATAATATGGGAATCTTTGACGTTGAATTTCTGTGTTTTTATTGCAGACGACGTCTTCGATTGCAATTGCTAGTGCCAAGATGTCTCAAGTGATGAGCCAGACAACCGAAACTATTAGTATAGTACGATCGTTTAGAATTGCTGGTGTGGTGACGCGCTTAGCTAACGTGGTGTTTGTTTCGAAATAATTCTAGGTGGAACAGGCGATGAAGCGACCAAAGACGGAAGTCGATATTGCTATGGAAAACAGTCCAGTCAAACCGAAAGCACTTTTGAACGAGCAGGTAAGCATCATGAAATGCTGCGTCGCCAAGTGTGATCCTACTTGTTGCACAAAATTGATTCGGCCGTTACTGTCTCCATGCAGGAAAAGTATAGTCTGCAGCAGCCGTCTCCTCTTCGTACGCGTTTGGCGCTACAGTTTAGCGCGTCCAAAAACGTTTAGTTATATTGTTTGCTATTGATCCTGGAGGCAATCAGTAAGAATGTGCTTTTTTCGTTGAGCTTGTGATGCTCTCGTTAGTCTTTCTTGATCCTATTACAGTATGAGAAGACTGGCAGAAGATCTGGGATATTGGACGTCTCAAAGGCCTACATTCAATACCATTTACGAACCCATGGACTGCTTACAAACAATTAGCAAACATTAAGACAAACTATTTTTAAATGTTAGCTTGCAATTAACAATTTGTCTCGTTAGATTTTGGGCTCCAACCTGCAAATCAAAATGGTCTCTTGCAGTATTTGTAAGAGTGGAGTGAAGTAGTGGTGCACTTGTGCACGTAGAGGTAGAAGTAAAAGTAAAATATATTAAGCATTAACTACTCTCCTTCGCTAGTGCTTTAACATGTACGATAGAGTCAACTGCGACTATACCATGTCTAGTCTGTAGTCTTCGTCTATCCCGCTTCGCCACATCTATTAAGATGTCACAACATTAGCCAATTCGGGTACGGTCGCACCTTACCGGGCACAGGTTATAGCCCTTGCCTTCAACACCTTGCAACCTGTCAAAAAACGATCGTTTCTAACAGTATTTCAATTTGTGGTGCTATATTGACCTCTATATCTGGGCCGCGATCTCTGATGCATGCAGCTAAGGGACTGAGCACATTCGAGACCTTATCATTGTTGTCAACACGTACAAAAAAGGGGGACAATAGATCTTCAAGCTTCCACAAGGTCCTCCCTCATATAGACGTTCAAGCGTTGCTGGTGGGAGCGTTAAGAGGAGCACCGAGGACTGGATCAGCTTTTGTTGAACACAATTTGATGGGGCATGCGTGATACGCCTATCTTCCATGTCAATTCGAATGAAGAAGTACTTACAATGCATCTAATTGAATGAAAAAGTTCCAGATCTTCTTACCGCCCACACCTGGTTCACCGTCTCGTAGATCTTCTAAAATTGCGACGCTACCACTTTATAGCTTTCTCACGCCGGAGTTCTGTTTACCCGATAGGCGACTTTTCGTTTTCGGTTGCGTGGTCACTAGCTATGCAAATATCTACACCTTCTCTGTAAAGATCCCATCGCTCTCTGATACGTCGCTGGACTGAAAGAGTGATTAGATGCGTCAGAGCTTGTACGAGCTCAGATCTCTTGCACAACACTAGCCTCACTTCGTGAATAGCAAGTACGCTATGGCAGCTGAAGTTACGAATGCCGAAAGCTTTAAAGCGCTGCGTTTCGGCGTGTAAAAGTCTATGGACGGTGACGCACTATGCGCAAGTGTTTTGGGCGTTGTAGGCGTCGAGGAAACACTGGTGTGGCAGAGATTTCTTTATCTTGCTCTTCTTCAGCCGGTTATCTGCAATTCTGAAGCGTACGCGAGCATCACTGCAAACATCATCTCATTTACCTGCAATTACAAAGTTGTCGCGAGCATCACTGCAAACATCATCTCATATACCGATTTCAAAGAACCCGTTTATTTCAATCTGACATATGGTGGAGTGGGTTCTCAAAATTGTATGATGAGACCCCAAACCACTCACTGTGCCGGACTGCCGACTGTCGGAAGGGGTACCCCGATGCCGCGTATGAACCTTCTCTCACCTTGTGTACCCGTCGGCTGGCGGGTTGCACTCTTTGGAAGACTTGGTGAGGATGTAGAAGTCTGCCTTGAGGGAGGTATACCTGGGGGGGGGCCTCGAGTGGATATGCTTCACTCGGTGGGCCGGTAGGTGACCACTCGATCGACCTTGTCGAGAGTGGACTTAGAGCCAAATTCTTCAGGGGCGCTTGTCGTCCCATGGCCTTTTCCTTCTTGTTTCAGGGGTATCAACCGCCTGACCTTTACTTTGCTCCCGGACCTTGAGGTGAGGGAGACCGCTTCCGATAGCGGGTCTTGGGGGGTGTTGCTACTCGAACAAGCTCACAGGCCAAATATATTCTGGAGCTCTATTCGCACTTGAACTTCGCTACACAACTGTCTTCGACGGGGGCCAAAATTCATCCCTTCCCGGAACAGTGAGTAGTAACTTAGAACAAGTCCTTCTTGGATGACGGAGTCGTGCCACGTAGATCGCAAATTGAGTAGTATTTAATATAGTCCTATCCTTTTAACTCCTTTACTCTATCCTTGCCCGAAGCTCTGATTCCTTGCGTCGACTAGTCTGATCCTTGTATTAACTGGTCCGGAGTGGCTGAACCCCGAGGGGCCGAGGTCGACCAATGAGGGACCGGGTCGACCAATGAGGGACCCAGTCTACCGATGAAGGACCGGGTCTACTGATGAGGGGCCGAGGTCGACCAATGAGGGACCGGGTCGACCAATGAGGGACCCAGGTCGACCAACGAGGGACCGGGTCTACTGATGAGGGACCGGGTCGACCAATGAGGGACCCAGGTCGACCTATGAGGGACCCGGGTCTACCAACGAGGGGCCAGGTCGATCAATGAAGGGCCATGATCAACTCCCTTTGGTACCGGTTAACCGGTACCCTGATACTGATTTTTGCTTCGGTAGGTCCTGCGGATTGTTCTCAACCAACGGTCGCTCCCCTTCGGGACCCCTGTCTCTCTGGTCACCTGTCCCTGACCCACGGTCTATACTCCGAATCCAACTGGATTCTGGGACCTCCACATCACCACATTAGCACTTCACCACAGCCGCCCCCTGCACTAGCTCAACCGTACCACGGATTAAGCACGCGCATGTCTTCACTTCCTTCGTCACGTAGATACTTTAATGTCCCCTTTGTTGCTCATCCATCTCTAAGTCGTGTCTGTCCAGCCATGTCTTCCCCTGGTTCTGACCCACCGTACGCTGATCCACCGTCTGAAGAGCCGACCTCGGTCGTCCCTTGAACATGAATCTTCTTTTCTCTTCGATCCTATTTTGTGTGCTTGTCCATCTTCTATCTCCTCTTGCCATGTTTTCCTCTGTTCTAGTTGATCTTGGTAAT